CTTTCTTTATTCAATCAAAAAATACTGAAAATACGCTGATTTTACAGGAACCAGGGTTATGCCTCTGCAGGCAGAGGAACATTCCCCACACCTCCCACAGTGGCAGTGAGTCGGAATTCCAGAGCTACCCGAGTGTCCCAGGACTCCCCAGGTCTACTCTTCCCACCTTGTCTGGCATCAAATGTTTAAAAACAGTCTTTTTCTGCAGGGCTTAGGTTCCTCTTTGTGCCTCCTCTCCCACTGCAGCCCCATCCATGGCACAATGGCCATTTTCTCTGCAAAGCCACAACGTGCAGTGACCAGTGAGAAAAGTACAGAAAGAGAGAAGTGGTTTAAGTCCAAACATCTCCAGGCTTTGGGAGAGACCAGTGCCCACCAGTGTGGCTAATTCCATCACTACTGACTATGTCAGCTGAGGAAAATATTACATAGGAATATAGCAGTTAAAAAGAATTGAAATCACAGAAAACTAACTAGTTTTAAGAACCATGGTGTTCTGGTTCCTAGATTAAAATGTTTACCATCTTCAGGTTTCACTTGTCCCAACCACTTTTTCCACATCTACACCCTCTTGCACCCAAGTCTTGGGGCTCTTCTATCACCAAAGGCATCTGCTCAGAGGGACAATGCCACCTGCAGCCACCAAGGAGAGCCCCCAGGAGCAAAACTGCACTACGAGCTGCTTTGGGTGGGAGCGAAGAGCCCCAGCAGTGGGCAGGGGCCATGGAGAGACAAGAAACTGCAAGGGAGGGGGGGGTCCCTGTGTCTTCAGCACTCTGGCCTGAGCAAATGGGCTGGGAAGGTGCTTGAACAGAACATCACATGAGCTCCAGCCACTGCTTTTCCCTTACAAATATCCCTGATTTTCCCCAAGACAGTAAAATATTTCTGCCTAGGTAAGGCCAGATAGAGCAGAGCAAAGAATCTCATTCTCTAGTACAGAATTAAGAGCACAGATACAACACAACTTTCCTAATGTACAGGGAGTTATTTACTATGTGGATGCTGCTCACTATGGGTAACAGCACCCCAGTTTCCCAGTCAGACTGAGATGTTGCTCTGCCATGTGCAACCTCAGAGAACCTTCAAGTCAAACAAGAATCTAAGTATTTCCAAGATCCATTTCCTTTCGCTGGGTGTTATAAAACCTCTTCATCATAACAATATTTCTAGCAAGTAGTGTTGTTTCTAACTCACTTCCCCCAGCTAACATGAGCCTTGGCTATGCTGCTAAACCATTAGAACATGCTGTATATTTTTTTCCCTTTGAATAATCCATTGATTTTTATCTAGCAGACACAATGTATTTAATTCAAACTTGTTCCCCTCCCAGCTGCTCTAATTCCCACAGGCTCTCAAAGGGGAGACCATGTTTATTTATAAGATATCTATGGAGCTGCTTAAGAAAAGTATTTTCTTTAATTCACATGTATTCATTCTCTTCCCCCTTCTGCTATATTCTCATATATGTCCCAGGGCAAAACCAGTGCGTGTGGTAGCAGTGTCCCCAGTGACAATGCTTAACATATAAAAGTCAAGAACTACTTGGAAAGTAGTAAAAAGTCTTTTCTTTACACTGGGATTATATCTAAAACAGAGCTGCTTAATTCCATGGGGCACAGTCTCCTTCCCTTGGTGCAGGAAAAAGAGTCTGTGCTCAGAGAACATCGTCTCCATAACTCTGACTAGTCAGAGCCCACCTATTCCAGCTCTCAGTATTCAGAGAGAAAAAGCACATGTTACTTGTCCAACTCCTGCATGAAACATGATGGCAACTGCACAGAGTATTTCTGGTGCCAATACTTGGAAACTAATCTCTCCCACCCAGAAGGCCACCGAGGAGCAGGTCTGTATATGGTCAGTGCTGGTGTCAGCCAACTGCTCACCATGTTCTGCTTTGCAGGAGACACCCTGGCTCACCAAACCTGCACTTTGCACTCCCAAGCACAGCCTGGAGAAGCTCTGCATGCCCCCCAGGCAAGGCTGCACCCTCCCTCATCCACCTGCCCAAACCCAGTGCCAGACCAGCCTGGTCACCCACGATGAGCAGGACCTGCTGCCCCAGGCTCAAAGTGGACAATTCTGCTGGAGTGATACCCCATGCTCTGCTGTGAGGGACAGGGGGGAATCTCACCTACCCATCCCTGCTATTTTACACGTCTCCCTTAGTATTTATTTCCCTTAGGAAATAAATCAGGATCTTGAAAAGGCAGTTCTCACACTGATCCTAAAGAGGGCTGGATGACCAGCTGTTTTCAGCATGGATATGAAAAGGCAAGATTTAATGTCCTTGTTTTGAACTATTTCTGCTTGCTTCTTTCATGGGATCTCTAGTGGTGGCAACAGTCCTGAAATGCAAGGCTGAACAGAAACGCTTTAATGGAGAGTCCAAATAATTCCCTGGGTCACAGGAAGAAAACCCGTAATTTGCAAAACTCAGTGCTAAAGTAAGTAACAGCCAAGTGTCCTTCTCTGCAGCTTGACTTGTACTGCTGCTCTGCAGCATCCCACAGGTACCACACATGGAAGGAGAAGCTGTTAAAGAAGAGTGTCCATTTTGAAGTGAAGGGGACACCTCCTGCTGCCCGAAGAGCTGCACTCTCAGCACTGATTCCTGCCACGCTTCCCAGTGGGCAGCAGGCAAAGCCACCATCCTCAGGAGGAATCTGACCCCATGGTGTGTTACAAACATCCTGGGCATGTCCCCTGCCCTCCTGCTGTGCTCTACCCTGGCTCTCCAGCAAACCCTGCTCCGGGCTCAGCTCCAGGGAAGCCCAGCACCAGGTGCGGAGCAAGCTCAGCTCCTGCAGCACCAGGAGCAGCATTCCTGACCCACGGCCCAGGTATCATCCCACAGAATGGGCCCCTCTCCCCCCACTCTCCCTCCAGATGGACTCACCATTCTCAAACACGGTGCCTGCCGTGAAGGAGAGCTCCGAGTCGTGTTCTGCTTTGCAGGCGTACAGAGCCCGGGCCTTCCGCAGCGGGGAGCTGCAAGGAGAGGGCACTCATTGGCACACAAACCTACTCACACACAACAGCACTCCCCTCCCCACAGTGCTGAAGAGGGATCCACACGGGAAGAGCATGTTGAAGAGGGGTCTCAGGACCTCTACCCCTCTCCAAGGGTCCAAAGCAGGGAAGAGTGAGGAAGACACCAGCAGAAGCTGAAGGCTCTTGGGGATGAGCCCCCAGTTTTCACCGTGCTGCAAATCCCAGCCCGAGACCAGCCAGCAGCACCAGGACCAAAGCTTGTGCCTGGGGTCCCTGGGAGAGCTCCAGGCACTGGATGGGAGGACAGCAGAGAGCTGGGAATGTTTTGTGAGTCTCTGATGAGCCACAACTGGCTGGGGGGCCAGCACGGAGCAGCCCCGCTCGCTGCCGAGCCCATTGCTCACCGAGGGCAGCTGCAACCACAAGGAGAATTTAAAGAGGAAGAATTAGCACTTGGGGAAGGGTATTTCAAAACAGAAAAACAAGCAGGTCCATGAAGAATTTGCTGCACTTCTGTAGAGACTGTACCTGAAGATAAAAAAGATTTAACAACCATTAGATTTTACTGTGCCCACGCTGCGGGGGAGTGAATTAGAGCAGAGAGCCAGCAAAGGAGCAGATCAGCAGCAGCCCCAGGGAGAAAACGAAGGACCTGAGGACCTCACCAGCAAAGTGCAGGCATGCAGGGCTGTCCCCTGCACCCAGAGCCTCCCACTCATCCATCTTTCTCAGGTTTGAGCTGGAGCAAGGCTGGTGGAAAGCTGGGACACTGCCAGGCTGTGGTGATGGTGCAAACCTGCGCAGAGTCTGGGCTGTCCAGCCACCCGGCACTGCAGCAGGCTGCTCAGCCACAGCACAGCCAAGAAAAGAAATGGAAATGGCCCCAAGAGCTGCTGGGGTGAGGAACAAAGTGTCACCATTTCTCAGTTCAGCAGTTTCACCAACTTTTTATCTTTCTGAGGACTTGAACTGAATTCTGTCTGAGCAAGCCCAGGGATGCTCTTGCTTCGTGGCAAGAACTGTTCACAGAGAAACCACAAAACAGGGAAGCTGTGAATGACTTTGGCTTTGCTGTGCAGAGAGCCCTGAAGATCTCTCCTCTCCAGATTCCAGCTGCCTGACACGAGGAGCACCAAACACTTAAAACCAGGATGGGCAAACACTCTTACTGGTCCAGAGACAGTCCTTTGCTGCTGGGAAGGCAATCTAGGGAGACTGTCAGCTGAGAAATAAAAGATATTTTTGGGTTTACTACCTTGAATTATTCAAGTTGCTGCTTTTCTCCCCCCAGAAATGACCTCTGCAGCCCAGCATCCCCAGCTGCCCCTTTGCCCACCAGCTGCTCCCCAGGCAGCCACTGTGCCCTTCAGAGCCCCACGTGGCTTCCAGGGACTGAAACACTGGACCCCAGTATTGGCTCACATCAGGTTTCTGCCCCCGAGCATGGCACAAGGACAGCCAAGCCCTTGGGGGTTCCACCCTCTGCCCCTGTGCAGTTTTGGGGACGATGAGCCTCTCTCCCCCAGAG